TTTTTTTTTTTTTTTTCTCTGATTATTCTTATCTTTGTATGAAAATGTTTTATTATTGCAAATAATACAAAAAAAAATTTTTTTTAGATATTTAATTTAATTCTCTTTGAACACTGTTTCAATATATATATATCATATTCGTGATTATATATCATTATATCATTTCATTGACGATTATATCGTATTATTTCATATCCAACAATGAAAAAAAAAAGAAGTCTCAAACGAGACATTGGGAAGATAATTTTCTTTAATTTTTTTTTATTCGTCTCGTTCTTAAGAACGTTTAAATTTGAAACGTGAAGTAACACTGTCCCCGAGAAAAGAGCAATTCTTCATTTTTATTTATACTATAGCGTGTCTCGCATATCTTGCGGTTTTACCTTTGCGCGTGTAAGTGACATTTCCTGATATTACGAAGGAATGGTTCGGAGTAAAGAACCACAGTCATTTGAAACGGATAATAAATAAACCGCGATCCTTTATTCACTTTATAATTTATTTTTCGAGTAAAAATTTTAAAAATCAAGTAAATAATATCTCAGACGTTGTAATTTGAAAAGAGAGACGTTTCAAGGTTAATTTCTTCGTTAGAAAAAAATATTATTATTTGTTATTAATTTAATTTTTCGTTTTATCTTTCTACAATTTATTCCATTTTTAATTACGCGTTTGTTGCAAACAAGATATCATACGAATTTTCTATCAAACTTGATTGAATTTCGTTGTCTTTCATCAAGCTTAATTTCATTCAAGGAAGAAACACCGTTTGCATCGAAATTACCCAATTGTCTTATCAATCTCCTCATTTACATTTACCCTTTAATTTTACTAGAAACCACCCGTTAACGTGTTTGTAAATATACAATGAAACTTCGATTAAGTTTTCCAATTATTTATATTTTTTCATTAAATTTAATTACACGTGTATTATACAGCATGATCAATTGATCGTTTTACTAAGTGATACAATAAAAGATGCTATAGATGTTTAATTTATTTAAATGAACAATCGAAAAAAAATTTAAATTAATCGTTCTCAACAGATTTTTACATGTTTGTATTTCCAGAAATAAATTTTTGATTTTTGAATTCAAAGCTAGGAGATAACGTAATTGAGGAAATATTTACAATGACAAAAAAACTATGATAATAAATTCGAACGAAATTATTTTTATCTCTCCTTATCTCACTCGTCTTTGTTTTTTGCGATTAATGAAGAATACTATATGGTGATAGTTTCGCATCTCTTGTTAGAGGAAACACAATGATGCCGGGAAAAACCCTGAAGGACGTGGCACGTCGTCTCGCGTGCCACTTATTTCTTTTTTTTTTTTTTGGTATGAAGCACTTTCCTCTTGAGGATCGTGGCTTATCCTCGAGAAAAAGAGTCTAACACAACGATCAGATGAACGTAAGCAGACAAAACGACTCAGACTTCTTTAACGAATAAGTTAGTATCTCGTTTCAGAGTTAAATTATTTTTCACATGAGATTCTTGAGAAGGCACAAAGCTGAAAACTACTCATGACTCGTGAATAATTGAAATTAGATCGGTAAATAGTAGAAAACATTTGATTCAAAGTTTTATCTTTAATACTCTGACTTTAAGGTGTTCATTAATAATATTGAGATGTTTCAAAATTTCAAGATTTAGAAATTTATTTAAACACTCTTTTTTGTTAATAATATGCATGAATATACCCCCCAAGAATAACATATTGTTAGTTATTTTGATAAGTGAGAAATAAAATTAATATCACTTTTAAAAAGAATGATTACTAATTACCATATTATTAACATTATTCATTTCTTTACACACAATGATATCAATCTCCAGAATAAAGATCAAAATTGAAGTGTAGTATAATCCAGAATAATAATATTTCATTCAGTAGACAGTATTGAAAACATTATATATACTTCAATAGTACTTCAATAGTTCAAAATTTATTATGAACAATGACATATAGTTCAATTATCAACTGATTAATAAATTCATCCAATATACAAATAAATATAATTATATGTGTCTTTCAATCAAAAAAAAAAATATATATTTTTCATGTTATAATGGAATAAATTAATAACCATAATTAAAACATGTACAAGGAGGCAAAGTGGTATTTGAGATTGGTGTGGTAGCAATAGATCCGTTTGGAGAGGACCCTTCTGTGATATTAGTAGATATGTTCACTGTGCCATTCGAGGAGTTTGCAGTGACATCCGTAGATATTTCCACTGTACTATTCGAGGACTTGTCTGTATATATTATTGTTGTGACTGATACGTCTGTAGTTGAACTTGGTTGTTCTGTACTAGAACTAGACGATCCTCCTGTGCTACTTGATGTGGACTGTGTACTAGAACTTGATGGTCTTTCTGTGCTACCTGAACTGGGTTGTTCTGTACTAGACGATCCCCCTGTGCTACTTGATTGCGCCGTAGTCGAACTACCTGGTCGTTCTGTACCACTTGAACTGGATTGTTGGATACTAGAGCTAGACGATCCTTCTGTGCTACGTGAACTTGGTTGTTCTGTACTAGAGCTAGATGACTCTCCTGCACTGCTCGAAGTGGATTGTGTACCAGAGCCAGAGGATGCTCCTGTGCTGCTTGATTGCGGTGTAGTCGAACTACCTGGATGTTCTGTACCATTTGAAGTGGATTGTTGGCTACTAGAGCTAGATGATCCTTCTGTGCTGCTTGATTGCGCTGTAGTGGAACTACCTGATCGTTCTGTACCACTTGAAGAAGATTGTTGCGTATTAGATGATTCTTCTGTGCTACGTGAACTTGGTTGTTCTGTACTAGAGCTAGACGATCCTCCTGTGCTACTTGAAGTGGATTGTGTACTAGAACTAGATGGTCTTTCTGTGCTACTTGAAATTGACTGTTGTGTATTAGAACTGGACGATCCTCCTGTGCTGCTTGATTGCCCTGTAGTCCAACTACCTGGTTGTTGCGTACTAGAGCTAGATGATCCATCTGTGCTACTTGAACTGGATTGTGTACTAGAGCTAGATGGTCTTTCTGTGCTGCTTGATTGCGCTGTAGTCCAACTACCTGGTTGTTGCGTACTAGAGCTAGATGATCCATTTGTGCTACTTGAACTGGATTGTGTACTAGAGCTAGATGGTCTTTCTGTACTACTTGATTGCGCTGTAGTCGAACTACCTGGTCGTTCTGTACTATTTGAAGTGGATTGTTGTGTACTAGAGCTAGATGATCCTTCCGTGCTACGTGTAACTTAGGTTGTTCTGTACTAGAGCTAGATGATCCATCATTGCTACTTGAAGTGGATTGTGTACTAGAGCTAGATGGTCTTTCTGTGCTAGTTGAAGTTGAATGTTGTGTACTAGAGCTAGACGATCCTCCTGTACTGCTTGATTGCGGTGTAGTCGAACTACCTGGTCGTTCTGTACCACTTGAAGTGGATTGTTGCGTACTAGAGCTAGATGATTCTTCTGTGCTATTGAAATGGATTGTGTACTAGATGATCCTTCTGTGCTATCTGAACTTGATTGTTCTGTACTAGAGCTAGACGATCCTTCTGTGCTACTTGAAGTGGATTCTTCTGTACTCGAGCTAGCTCTAGTAGAACTTGTTGGTCCTTCTGTGCTGCTTGATTGTTCTTGTGTACTACTTGAAGATGATTGTTCTGTGCTAGGTTTACTTGTACTCGATGTACGAGTGACAGGTTCTGTGACAATCGTTGGTTGCGTTGTACTTTTAGAAGAATGTCTCGAGGTACTTGTGTATCGATTTTTGTAACATTGTTTAATTTGGTTTCTTAATGTAATAATTTGTTTCATAATATCTTTTACCTCGTTCAAGTTGCAACTTTTTAATGATATTTTCAGTTTTATAATAAGTGTAATGGTATAATCATTTTCTTTGGTAGTTTCTAAAATATTCACGAGTGAATATCGTGTTGCTTTATTCAGTGCCTATAATTATCGTATAAAATAAAAATAATATTAATATTAATATTGGTTTTCATATTTGATCTTATATTACTATTATTTTAAATATTTATTGCTTTTCACAATTATACCATTTTAAATTTGTATTATAATTTATATTATATTTATTTTATTAATAATAATATATATTTTATTTCTATTGATGTTAATTTATGATTTCTATAATGTCAACATATTGACGATATTCAATGTGTTTGTATATTTTCTTTCATTCATATCATTCTGCCACATTGAAGTATTATTTGTGTAGATTAATAAAAACAACCAAAAAAATTTATATAAATTTATGCTCTATTTAATCTTGTTTTATTAATTTATTGTATTTCTTATTAACACACTCTTTCTGCTTATATTTATTATTCGCTTATTTAAGAAATTTTTCAAGATAACTCTCTTCCAAACACAAGTTTGAAAATGTTTCAATTGTCAATGATATAAAAAAATATTTTATATATAGATATTATTATTTAATATTAAATTACAAATTAAACTATTTTTATCTTTCAATTAAGGATAATAATTTGATTAAAAATTTATTCTAATATATATTATTCATTATAATTCAAAAACATTAAGATTAAATGGAACATATTTCATTAATATTTATATAAACTTTTTTTATTATTTTCATGTATAGCTTCATTCTTCGAAACAGTTCAGATGCGATAGAATACCTTACGTACATATTATATGTTGTATTTTTCATAGAATTTATATGTTTAGAATTTTTCTTAAACTATTCTTTATTATATATTTCATAAATTTATATGATTTGATATACTTACGTCATTTAAACAATTCATGATTTCAATAGGAAATTGATTTTTTGTTGCACACTGTGCTGCGTTCGTACTAATATCATTGAGATCATTTATTAAGTTTTCAGATTTTATATTTATTTTAGCCGTAAGACGTATCGCTTCATTCAACTTTCTTAAAGTACAATTAGCAGTTAAATTCATGAATTCATCAAATAAATGATTCAATTGTTCTTCTTGTGCGTTGCAGTCATTAGCCCCACTTATTAGTTTCTTTAGATTTTTTAATTCAAACTCCATCTATTAAATAATAAATGAGAAATCATTTCAAAAAAACATTCGATATATATATATTAATGTATACATGAATATTTTGCAAATTGATTTTGAAACCACGATTCCTCTTTTCTTTTAATTAATTTAACAAAAGTTTTAATTTATTTTTCCATTATGGAACTCATATATATATATATACTAAGTATTCGAATAATTTATAAATAAATGCAAATTATTCGCTACGTAAAAAATTATTTAAATAAGAATTGTGATTTTTTTTTTGTAGTTGAACAAAGTTTAAATTGGCTATATTGTAAAAATACTATCATTTCTCACAAAAATATCGGATAATAATTTACTGAAATAAAATTTCAATAAAATACAAATATATAAAATAATATATATATATCACATATATCGTAATTAACTTGTGCAAATTAAGTGCAAATTACTTAAATTTTCATATTATTTTACGAAATATTTAATAAACGATTGATCGTATTAATACATCGCATACTTACATTTTTTAATACGTTATTGACAAAATTTTTTGCTTCCGTGTTTACTTTCTCGCTCTTTTTTTTCATCTCTTCTACAAGCTGCTTAGCTTGTTCTTTGGGCCGAAGAAAGATCTTGTTCGCTCTATTAATGATATCGTTGATCTTTTCGATAACATGTTTTTCATATAGTTGCACTTTCTTCATCGGATCGAAGAACGAAGGAATAATCTGGGAGCTGCCCTGATATAAAATGAAAAGAAAAAGTGGAAAAATACTAGAAATATCATAATTAAATATCGTATATCGATATAACATTAGCGAATAGGATAGAAGTTTATTTGCATAGAATTCGCGCAATTAAAAAAATTATATCCGTCCTATCATCGAACATGTTCCTGTATATGCAAGAGAATCGATTAATAAATTTGTGTAAATGGATAATAATCCGAGTGTTAATATAATCATATGTTTGGATAGATAGATTTTTCAAGGCAAAACAAATAACGAAATAAAAATCGATATCGAAAAATTTCATGCAATTAATTAGATAAGTTTTAAACAAGTTAAAGACAAAAATGAGATGCTTCTATTCGTCTAACGCGAATTGCTCGATAACTCGATATAAATAAGCCTAGAAATTTTTATATATATATAGACTCTCGTGTTTTGCTTTTGCGAATCGATCCTCGTCGAAACGGATCTCACAAATATATCAACAATCTCGTCCACATATCCTTCCCAACCACCCTCATTTCAACTTGGATTATTATCAAGAAGATTAATTGATAACGCCGTTGGTATCACTTACATAGGCAGAGAAAATAACGAGACAAAATAGAAGAGCGAATTTCGCCATCCTTCCGCGCTTTAATTTGACACAATTTCACGCGGAACAGCGTTACCCCATTTATATATATGCCATGAAATTCATGATATACGCAAAGTATCTTATGACACTTGTGTCAACATATAATCGTAACTAATTAATATAACACTTTAAGTTGACACCTTAATTAGAATATTATCTATCCTTTGCGTTAATTACGTATGAATTAATGGAGTATTTTGTACGTATATATATATATATATATATGTGTGTGTATATTTTTTTCTTTTTGTTTTTGGAGAAAAGAGTAAAATTTTTTATCTACGTTATCAATTATCGTTGATAACGTATTTTATTATCGTGTTGGATAAGATATCATTATTATATTTTTTTTTTTGTATTGTATTATGTATTTTTTTCGTGTTGTATCCGTATATATATATCTATATAGATATTAAACGAAAAGAATTAATAAATTTCATTTTTCAAATTTTCTTTCGTCGTTTTACAAATCTTTATACGATTCGTACGATTCACGTTTTCCTTCGAGGACGTAAAATGTTTTCATTGATTGTAAAATATTATTTACAATTATCTTTTTCTCTTATATTTTACATTTACGTAGTTATCTGTCAACTAGAAATATTAATAACAACTAGAGATAATTTAGTTTGCAGATATTTTTAACGTAAATGATTTATTTACCCAAGGATTTTTTTATTTTTTTTTATTCGTTGTTAGTCTTATTTTATCATTTTTTTTTTTTCTTTTTTTTCTTTATACATTATCTGTTACTTCAGTGTATATAGCTAAAATTAATTTACGTTTGTTAGTTTTTTCATTTATTATCCAATATTATTACCATAATCCTTTTGCATAATTGAACCGGTAATTACGTGTTTCATAAAACTATTACGTAGATGATAGAGGATATTCACAGTTAATATCTGTGAATACAATAAAATCTCTATTAAACCTTCTTATCTGGGTGTTGCTTTATTGCTCAAACACTCTGTTATATGGCTATTTTTCGATCGAGAATTTATCATGCTACCTTCCCTATTGATAGAGAACCATGTTACGCCAGTTTATATACTCCATAATACACTCTAATACTCCCGTACGTAATTAGTGAATAATAACGACAAACAGTGACAAACAATAATGTAACGTTATTAACAGCGAAGACACATATAGAACTATAATAGTACAGATAAGAGTGTAATTAATAATCTTGATCATCGATAAAAGTGCATGAATTTTCATATACATTTACTAATTGCTTCTAATGCAGGCCAATCTACACCATCGATGTTTCCTGAAAAACGGCAATTGCGTGTATATATATATATCAATATATAACGAAATAAACTACGTTTGCTTGTATCATCGAGTTTTAATGTGAATAGTGTAAATCATTAATACAACAAGGAAAAAATATCGAAGAAATCGAGATCGAGAATATTGTTCAAATTAATTGGAAAATTATATTAAAAAATAAAATTAGATTTTTATACTTCGTGTATACTTTTTGTACGTGTAAATATATTCAAATTTTTCATAAATGTTTAAATCTATCCGATCCAGTTGTGGATGGAAAAATCGCAATTACTTGATCAATATGAAAAAAATCCAAAAGCGGCCTCTTTTTCTTTTTCTTCTATTTTTATTCAAAACAGCATCAACACGGTCGAATTCAACGTTTTCGCCGTTACGATCGACAGCCACACGTACGAGGCGCAACGTACGCTCGTTGCTCGTGTAAGTGAGCGAACAGCGTACGTGTAACGTGTGCAGACACGTACAATTTCACCCCGATAAAACGTTCCCATAGAGAGCGGCGCACGGGGTGTCGTGGGAACCGTTTCACTCGATATAAAGCATAACGTACGCATTTTTATGGGGCGCGTAGACGTAGCCAAGTAGCTTGGGGATTTCTTTGTAAATGAATCGACGATTCTTCTCCACCGACTTTCCCCCAATTTCCCCCCCACCCCCCTGCTTGCCTTCGTCGTAATGGCGTATTATGTTTCGAAGGAAGGAAATTTGACTATTAGGTATTTCGAAATTTTAGAAAGAGTAAATTTTGAAAGCAAGAAATTTATTTATTTTCGAACTTTTGTTGTAAGCAGATAAAGTTGATCGTGTAATGATGTATTTATGATGGTTGAAAGTGAGAAAAAATTGGTTATAAATTTTAGAAATCTATCTATTTTCGTTATATATTTTTATTACAAATTTTTATTATAAGTAGATAAGTTGATTGTGTATCAACTAGATATTTTTAAATTTTTAGAAGAAGTTGGAAAGAAGTTTATTTATTTTAAATATATTTATTTCCAAAGCATTGAAAGGAATAAAGAAATTTAGGTATTTTTACATAAATTAGGAAAACTTTTGAAATTCAAAAGTTTCGAATTTTGAAACGTGAAAGTGATAGCAAAATAAATTTTTTTAAATAACGAGCTTGTTTGTTGAACAAATGAATCAATATTTGGGAAGAATAAATCTGGTGATTAACGTTTGTATTGATTCAAACAGATATCGGGTTTTCTCATGACGATATATCGTAACACAATGTCTTGTACAAATTCGACGAAAATGTCAGTGCATCGATCGTCCTGTTCCCATTTCTTCGGTTCCGATGCGGATACCTGCAATCCGAGAAATCGATCCAACTGACTGTAAATGTAAAATTTCATTGATTCAATTATTATTAGTAACTTTAATATGATTTATTATCAATTTAATGGGCTAAATTAAAAAAAAAAAAATTGAATATTATTCAAAATATTTATCTTTTAATTAAAATGTCTTCTTTTTAAAAGATAAAGTTTTAGAAGAAGCGCTATTTCTTTTTAACTCTAAAATTTTTTTGTAATTTTATCGATAATACGTACTCGATGAATAGAGGTACGATTTTGAATCTGGAAGTGCATCGGATTATTCAATTTAATCGATACATTATCTATTTATCGAATATTCTGAAAAAAGTACATATTATCAAAAACGAAATTATCTATCTATTATTTATTAATCTATTATTTATAAATCCAATGAAAAGATAAGAGATAAAAAAACACATGGAAACATTTGAATGTTTCTATGTATCATTAAAAATAAAAAAAAATCCTTAAAATATACTAAATAATTAAGGAGAGAAGAATTGACATTATAATTTTCGAATATTCAGATTATCATCAATTTTCTTTTAACTTCTAGGGAAGAATATTTAATTTCTTAAATTTGCATATAAAAAAGACTATGCAAAAATATATTTATCATCTTTTATTATGAAATGTTTAATGAACCATTTTGAAAGTGTTATCAGTTGAAACAATATTTGCTATTTTAAAAGTTAAAATGTTAAAATAACTATAAAGATAATCTTTTCATGTTTGAATTTTTATGTTTTTTTTTTCTTTATTTCATTTATTTAATATTTCATTTATTCCTTATTAAACCAAGTATACTTTATTATTAAAAGATTATATTGTTGAAAAATCGACAGTACAAATATTTTGTTAATTTGTATGTCAGTTATCGCACATATTTATAAAAATATTATTTTTATTCAAATAAATAATTCCAAAAAATAAAAAAAAATAACAAAAATTTTAGAATATATATTTTTTTTAAACATACAAAAAATATGCAATGTTTGTTTTTACGATTATAGAAGAATAATAAAATTAATTTGATACAACAAATTCGTAACAAGTTTCTTTTTTTTATATTTCAGATAAACCCCCTTCACATTGGAAACAATACTTATCGGTAAGTCCTTGAATGCATTTTTCTCATTAACGACTTATTCAAATATTCACAAATAACTTACTTAGACTTATGTTAAATTTAAAAATAAAAAATTTTCTAAAGAGATTTAAGAATATCGATCGTTTATCTTTCAAAATCAAATCTCACTGGTTTTAATTCTTTCAACTCTATCAGTGTGCAAAAATTTCTATCAAAAAATTAAAGTGACATTTCGAGATCTTGTCTCGTTCAATAGTTAACCGTAACGAGTTGAGCGGCGAATAACCGCGGGCAACATTCGGGCAACATCGCGCGAAATCGGGTAATATCGGATGATATCGGGCAACATCGATAAACCTCGGGCAACAGACAATATACTTGCAAGACATAAAATATTAAACTCCTCCCGCTCCTAATTTTGCTACCTATAGCTATCTCCCGAACACCATGGTGGACTTACTCGCGCAACGAATAGAACTGTATTACGTGAACTATACTTTTATCCCTCATAAGCGTAAGATCTAAGCATGTGTCACGTTCTTAAAATCGTTTTTGTTTTTTAGAGGAAACGTTCACTTCGGGGGACTAGGGTTTTAACATCTGTCCACTTATTCGTTTTCTGAGTATTGGAATATCGATGCCACGTGTTTCCTATCTGTAGCATATATTTCTTATATGGATGATGGTGGATTAAAAAAAACGGATCAGAAATAAGATCTTTGTAAGTGAAATGGGAATACGATATGTTTAATTATTAAATTAGAGCCTGTTAGACATTGAAGTATAGGTATAATCTTAAGTCTTAAAGCCTATATCGAATTATCTAAAATATTTTTATTTTTAATATTTTTTATTATGATGTGATTTATATAAAACATATCTAAGAAATAAGAATACATAAGTTAAGTTTTTTGTTCAAAAGAATCAAGAAGCTTATACATACAAAATTGTGAATAAATCTGTACAAAAATGTACATTGCGATGTCGTGCGAAACAATATAGTATATTTACAATAAAATTGTATAGATGTTAAAGCTCGGTCCGCGTCGTAGCACATGTTAGCCTTTGTACCTGTCGACTCGATGTTCATGGGAATACACCGGCATGTGGTTTATCTACAACCATATGGCGTATCGGTAAATACACATGCGAAAAGAATAGAGACGAGTTCCGTGTAAAACGTTACTTTTTTATTACCATCATGGTTCTAATACGATACCCATTATTCAGATCATCGGATAATTTGTCATATCTAACATTTTTTTCAATTGTTTTAAATCTCATTTCTTATAACTGTAAACTATAAAATTAAATTCAACAATTTTCACGCGCGAAACGAACATTTTATATTGCTGCTTGTTGCATAACATTCATCTTTTAGCTTTGAATAATATTAAAAATTAAACATAATCGTTCTTTAAAATCTCTAAAAACTTAAATATCGAACTAAAATATAAAGTTGACACAATATTCCTCCGCGCCACGTCGCCATATACTTGATGTTGGCAAAAATGTAAATCCGAAATCGTGGGGAGTTGGAAATGGCGCCGTTTATCGTTCTTAGTAAGTGTTTCCATCCCTCGATGTTTTCTCCCGTTTTCGCGTTTAAAGGCATCGTTGAGCCGCAAAGAGAGCCGTAAAGAGCAGAGTAAATGACGCATGCAGAGATCTCCTCCGTGGAAGTTGATTCACCGTGACTCGTTCAATCGGAAAATGAAAATCAACTCTCGTCGTGGATCACTGCACGCACCAATGTCGATCGTTTGGATGATACTTTCAAATTTGTTAATCTGGACAACGAGAAATTACAATAATAGAAAATTGATTTTCCTTTTCCTTTTATTTTATGCATTTTATGCGGTCTTTTGATCGTATATGTTATATTGGTCGGATCGTGAATTATTATAGTATAACGATGATAATTGGAATAATTAACTATATATAGATGATTTAATTTTATCTCTGTAGATATATTTTAATCGAGATACAAATTAATCGCATTTGTTGCGCAAAATATAGAATGCAAATTGAAAATTATTGAATTAATACGTGAAATGTCATTTTTTTCAAACGAAATAGTTTTAACATAATAATTTTTTTTCGAAACGTAATATTCTAAATTGATTTTAATTTTTATTACGATTTGTAATAAAAATTACAAAATTTTATAAAATCAAATTTAATAAAGATAAGTTTAAATTTAAATTAATGGAAAAATTCATGGAAAAATTATAAATTATTCTCACTCGAGTTGCTGTAAAAAACGTCGTGTTTTTTAATTTCAATATTTCAGAATGATTGATATTTTCTTAATATACATACGCAGAAAAGATATTTGATTTAAATTGTATTTTATCGTGGTTCTTCTCTTGGTGATATTAATCATATTGAACGTTGACATTTCATTATTTTCCTTCTCAACTTTACAGTCTTTATCACATTATTATTCTTTTATCAGAGTTTTCTTTCTTGAATTGAATTATTGATACATTTCACATGAGAAAATCACATGGTTAAATATAAATATTTTATAAAATTGACGAATGTTTTGAGTTGAAGTTCATTTCATCTAAATTTAAAATCAACATGAAATTAATAATCATAATAATTTTTTAAAAAACATCGTACATTACAAAGTAGTAATTCGCTCGTTATTTTTATCATAAATAAATTTTCAACATACGCTTTTATATCTATCTAAGCTGTAAATTTACCATATAAAATTTATCCATTTACAGTTGTCAGTGAAATTTAGTTTTCATGAATAACAAAATTTCTATTCATCCACTTTCTTTCAATACTACTTTCCTCGTTATATTTTATTATAAAAACGTTTCTTTTCACTTTCAACGAGCGTAAATTACATTATACATCAAAAGTCCTTCCTGGCAAAATTAGTCTTTCTAGAAATTACCTCTTAAACTACCAACCACCGTAGAATTTAGTCATATCTCATTATTTTTCACTCATTCTTCTCTCTATCTTTACTATTCCGACTATATAATATATAAAAACTTTCCACTCGAAACTCTCTCCCATTCTGTTTAAAATTACAACTGAAATTACATTTTCGACTCATTATTCTCCAAATAAAATATCGTTTTAAGAATTAATTTAAAAAAGAAAAACCTTGTTGTTTCCTCTTTTGAAGAAGATCCTTCAAAAAGAAGTAGAAGAAGAAGAAGAAGAAGAAGAAAACAAAAAAACATTTCTTTCTATGGCAAAACCGTTCGGTTGATAAAATATTTTAACCATTTATCCACACTCCATGCACGCATACCGAGAATATTTCTTCTTATTGCATACCATCAGGTGGCTGATTATACTTATACACCTCATCGTCTCTTGCTTCCTTCCCTCCCTATCCCTAATAATCTACTCGAGCGTACTACGAGCGCAAAGCGACTAGAAAAAGCAAACGTTGAGCCGAAAGTCACCCTTCCTCGAATTCACCTTCCACCATCCGCCAAGTGCTCTTTTCCTCCTCCTTTCTTCCTTCCTTCCACATCTCTTCTTCTGAAGCCACCTCCTCCCCCCTCCCCTCCCCTTTCTTGCGCTGTTCCTTTCCCGGTGCACCTGTGCATATCGCCCTCGACACACAGCCCTGTTGTAATCGTGGAACGAGCGTGCACGCACGTGAAAACGTGGACGAAAATAGTCCACCGCTAGCCAGCAGCCATTCGTAGCTGGATCAAGGCTGTTCGAACGTTATTTTCGTCGATGGGGCGTTTTCACACTGCACCCCGTGCAAATAAACGGGGCGAGTTCGATTTGATCGAACTCCTCCTTTTGTTTCGGGTCGAAATTCGTCCCCGGATTATATTTATATATTCGTTGCTTTAATCATGTAAACGGGGAGGAAGCGAGGTGGCTAAGGGTTACGCCTGCAACTTAACATTTCTGTTAAAATTTAAATTCGTATAAATATTCCGCTCGTAGAAATTCGTAGATGGACTCTGAATGTAAATTAGTAGAGGCAAGCGGATGGAAATTTTTCTAAATTACCATCTCTATTTTGAATATTCTTCTGAAATTTAGATTTGGTAAGATTATAATATAATGCCTCCTTGGAAATTTCCTTTTTGAGATTTAATTTCGAATATTCGATCGATAGATACAAAAGTAAGATCAAGATCCTTCTACGAATTTCGACGAATTTGAATATTAATTTCAACTTTTCGATTCTTACCGAAGTTTAAGCAAAAATAAACAGTAGAATGTCTTTTTTAACGAAAAAAAAAAAAAAAAAAGGAAAATTTTTTTCTAAAAAATTGCATCAGCTCGCTTTAATAGTTATTTTATTATCCAAGACTCATCGTGAAAATTACAAATATCACGCATAATTCACAACCGTAATGAAAAGCCATCACTTCCTATTCGCCATTTACTATTCAAATAATGAAAAATTTACATATGTATGTGTGATTTTGCAAGCATTTGGTTTTTAATCATTTTTGTGCAAATTTATCTTACACTTATCGATTTATATCGCACGATATAAGTGAGCAAAGTAAGTCCTCACCAAAGTAAGCTTCCTGTGTTTAGATATGAGAAAATAGCGAAATAGGAACGAAACCGAGGACAGCTGCCAACTTTCTTTCTTCCTCTGTGATCGTAGAGGCTACTTTACTTTAAAACTAAATCAAGGCAATGCAGCTGCTTGAAAAAAAATATGGCCATTCAAAAATTTTGACTCCCCTGTTTCCCATCTTCGTTCGTAATTAAAACGCGTAAATAGATATTCAACGAATCATTGATATCTTGACTGATATCGTTACATCGTTAAATTTTCATAAATTTTAATATTATTTGTGAAAAATTTGAATTTTTTATAACAATAAATAAATAAATAACTTTTAACTCACAAAAGTTTGGAGAATCGACAGTTACGTGAACTGTCGGACAGAATCAGATGAATGAGTCCTAATATCACATTTTCTTTGACAGGAGAAATGTAAAATTGATTTTAGAAAAACAACATTTCAAGAGAATGTTTTTCGCAATTAATTCGTAATTAAAAAAAAAAAATATCCGATTCGATTTAAATCGATAATGGCGTAGTGAACATAAATCTAAATCAAATCAAAAACAATCGATCAAAAACGATCGACAATTGCACTTAATCAGGCAATTTTGCCCTCTTAATTCATTCTGCCCCCCCCATCGATGTTGCCTCGAGAGGAAGGCTCTACGCGGAATCTCGGTCGGAAGATCTGAAAATGAAAGAAACCTTGGCAGGATTTCGCGGTGAGCCTTTCTCACTCTCGCGTCTCAGCAGATGTACGACCATTTGCCGTGGCAGCTGCACTACTCACCACCGTAAACTTCGAGCACCAGACCCGGACCTAGATCCGAGCTGACCCCAACGATCCCAACCTTCTCGATCGTCTCGAGGCGTCATCTTCGCCTTCACCGCGCTTGACATCGCCAGATTCGATAAACCAAAACCTCCATACGTCTCGTACAGCATTAATTCATCGAAGCTTTCGCCCGATGGTAGCCGGTATCTCCAGTTCGAGTCGCATAATTGCGCGACAAACCGGTTTCTCGCGGTGCAAACTTGAGGTTGCCGGATGGAAAGATGCACACAGGCGCTCAGGACGCTCGGCATGGCCCTGGATCGCGGTGGTAGAGTAGGGAAAAGGTATACCGGGTCCAAGTGGAGAGCATTTACGGTTTCACGGATGGAGGGGGAGGGGGGTTGACTCGTGCTTCCTAAATGGATGGAAGACAGGGACGATGATCTCGTACGGGGCCACTGGAGAAAAGTTTGTTCCCGTGGATGGACGGAGATTTGTTGATTATTAAATAAACATGCTTTTGACGAAGAAATTATCGTGATGATCAGTTTAATAAAATTTAGAAATCACACGAAACCTGGAGGATAAAAATCGTGTATATTTTATTTCTTGAATTTAAAATTTTGATTCGTTACAGTTATTCTTTGAATATAATCTTTTGAATATATTATATAAATATATACGATTGTGGTAAAATCGAAAAGTATAAATATATATATATAAGAAAGCACGGGGCATCGATTAATATAGCAACACCCCTGGCGCGCCGTAGGACCCGGGTAGAGAGACATGGGCCCGTTTGAACTACGGCATTCGCGTCCCGAGTGTTTCAGGGGGGGGTTCTTGCACGTCTCTAATACGTGGTGGATCGTAAGTACGTGTGTACCTTCGTCTCGTCGAGCTTTTCCGTTACTTTGTGTTATTCAGTGAAAGTGAAATAAAATTCGAATTTCCGTGTCGAATTTCCACGATAATAAACAATAATAAACAAAGTGATGTCTAAACATTGATAATACACCATCGTGTTTCTCTTTTTTTTTCCCCTAACTGATAAATGGTGTTCTAACTGTCGAAAGCTATACGTAAATCGTGATATCTCCACCAGGTGGCATGAAAGTTCCTTAAACGGAAAACAGTCGTTTTATTTAAACATTTTCAACAAGTTCTTTTGTTTTATGTGTTCTAATATTTTCGTAATCGAATTATTGCAAAGTTTTATTCGTCACGATAAAGGATATTTCAAATGATGAATTTAGAGGTTGAATCATCGATATTCAAGGAATATTTTTTGATAAATATGATAAAATTAATATGAAAGTAAATGAAAGTGCTGTGATTGAGATGATGCTCGATTCACCGATGCGACAGATCAAACGTACATTGCAGTTCCGGTGGGGTCACCGGAAATAGCAAAGCGTGACGGCGGCAGTTCTAACGGAAAAACGTGGGAATTTGTATCGTACCTCTTCACCTCATTGTCAGTCGCATCATTAATTGGCGTGTTTTAAACAAGCTACGCAATAATCGCGTTAAACATTCGCGTAACGGATAAATCTTTCTTCTCGTGCTTCAAATTATATAAATGAAACGTAACTATAAATGTATAAATGATAACTCATCTTCGGCGATAAAAGAAGAAACAATAGGTGATGGCAGAATATTTATCGAAACTTTAATCAATGCGTGAAAGGAGGTCGAGGATAATCGAGTTAAATAATTCACGAACGATTCTCTCCTTTTCAAACACGATTTTTCAATGACAAATCGATTTGCAATCGAAAAATAAAAATACGTCACGGGGAATCCGTTTCCTTCCGAACACTCGTCAAATTAACGTCGATCGATCAAACTCGTGCATATTCGATTGGAAAGAAATGAAATTGCATTCGAGTAACGGCTTCCTGGCGACGCGATTGAAAGGTTTTTCGTTCACAGAACGGTCGTTTAATTCGTCAAGTCTGATTGTATCCGATCATTAACTATTTAACGATCGAATGAAATTGCCACATTATCATCCTTCAAAAGCTACTCAAGAACATCTCTCTCATAAGAAACTCGACCGGCTTTAATTAAAACAAGTATATACACGGAAACAAACGAAACAACTCGTTTTTGTTACAAAGATAGGGAAGCGTGTTGATTCAGTGGAATGCTCTTGAGGCGATTCAAAATTCGTTTTTATCCTCTCAACCACTTCTTGAAACGTTGCAAAGGATTAACACGCGACACGATCGAAACTCACGAATAAATAATCGAGGAAAAATTCGTCATCGATTAAAAATAACGAGAGAGATACTCGTCCTATACCGGATGATTATTGGAAAGCAAAAGCGACGAGTATATCGCGCGAATAGCGAACGAGCAACAGGATACAGTTGCTCCCTCCACTGGACGTAAGGTAGGCCAGACAACAGAGACGGATAGCATGAAACGGAGAGAGAGTAGCTGAGGGATCCCACTCTAGGTAGAGTTCATGACGTCAACCTTCGGGGCCAAGTCGCACGACCAGTTTGAACTGCTAGCTCGCCGTAAGAAGGGAAAGAAGAGGAAGAAGAGGCGACACTGGTCTCTCGAACTGTTCCTCGATCGGTCCTGATATGTGTACATTTTTACCGGCCGGCACTCGTACCGCCGCCATGCGTATCCAAACTGTTCTCTCGTCTGGTCGTCTGTCATACATCGGTGGATAGGTTTGTCTACATATATAAAGATTCTTCGATTGAGGTTAATTAAACTTGTGATCAAACAGTGTGTCAAATAAGAGAAGGTAAACGGGTTCGTTTATTGAGATTGATGGATCGATAAGAGTGACGGAATACGACAAAGAATAGAAAAAAGAGCGTAGTGTCGTGAAGACCAGTCAATATAATCGCACCTGGTGCTAGTGATAAGTAGCGTGCACGGAAGCGAATGCAAGTCGTGCAGTGGAGACTCGCGATGGAACTCGGTTGTTCGGTGACAATACCTTGGTCGATCGAGAAGCCCGCACAGTTATCCGCCTTCTCAGTGCTGAACCTTAGCTTGGACATAACGATATCTTATCAAATCGCGCGAATTCGTGATATCGAATAGAGGCCAAAAAAAAATACGTGCACGAATTAGTATAATTACGAGATCGGTAAACAGATTGTGACAGTGATATATGTTCTGTGAAAATCTAACGAAAGAAATAAGGTATAAATTAATTCTTGGCCTTTTTAAAATAAATTTCACATGTATTTATAAGTAGTTCAGTATATACTTGAATCTTGAAAATGATTGTCATCAGTTTCTGTCATTTCTCAGATAACTGACGAATTTCTTCTCGGGAAAAATATGGCGGTTTCGAGTCAATAAAATTGAAATAAAATAAATACCCTCTTTTGGTTGTTGATTGTTGATATTTAAAAGAATTTAATAACTTGTGTTTATAATCATTTTTAATTTATTTAATAATTAAATAATTTTCTAAGATAACTTTAAATGTTAGAGTAAATTTTGTCTAAATTTGACAAAAATTTCTTTGAAGCAATGCTTTTAATTCTTTATTTTTATCTTTTTATATCAATATTCTAGGATATTCTACATGGAAAAAATTAAAACTATCATTTCGGAACTTTTTTGAAATTATATTTTGCACGTGTTTAAGATATAATATTTTTTTCGAAAGTCGAGTAAATCATTTTCTTGGTCTCGACAATATTTTTTTTAATTACAAAAGTTACATTGTTATTCTCTTATATGATGTTTATCGAACATTATCATGTTTATTATGTAATGTTATGTTAAATTAGATTTTATTTATTTAGATTTTTATCTTAATATTAATCTTATGTAATAAGAAATAATTTAAAGAAAATGATTTAATTCCAACATTTATTTAAACTAAACTTAGTGGCCAAGAATTAATTTTTATATATATAACAAAATAGTGATAATAAGGCAGACAAATGTTATGAATTGGAAAGTTATATTCTGAGGATTAAAACGAGGGATCGAAGGAAGGAACATTTGAACGAAGGGAAATAGCAAAGTACACGGACGTTCGATGATATCGTGTATGGTGCAACGAGGAAAACAACGAACGACGAAGCCGTTGTGTTTGGATACTTGACGCGGTCGCTACTGCGCGTCGTGAAAACATCGACGCCAGAAGAGAAATGGGAAACCACCCGTCCGCCCACCAACCGCTCGAGAGAGCTACCAACCATGCTGGAAATGGTCTTCGCCTCTCGGTATGTCCCGATCTTGTTTTACGTCAACGATAACTCTCTGAGAGGCAGATGCCCACGTGTGACGCACGCCTCTTGATGCAATATCGTTAAATAGAGCATACACGCGTTGTTTCGTGTTATTATATGTGCCACGAGTGAGGCCTTTGAAGGCCTTTGCTTACCGCTGACTCTGTTTTCGGCCTTTTATTTATTAGTTAATTGTCGAAGCTTAACATCGGTCACCTTGACAAAAATTTTAGAAACCTTTGTGGTGGGGATTATTTAAATTTTATTTGGCATAGGGGATGATTTTATATAACATTATGACTTTGTCGAGGGAATGAGTTGTTGTTCGAAATTTTTTAAATTAACTAAAAATCTACTTGTGATCGATTGAATGATTTGAGGTTACGGAGAATGGGGATTTTTAATAATAGGTAATTATTATAGATTATTATAGATTTCATTGATTTATTTTTATTTATTTATTTATTATTGTAGTTTTTTTTTCGTAAAAATAGAAATATATAGAGAAATAGAAATTTTTAGATATGAAATGCTTTTATTAGTGCTTAATATTTTATCGAGATCATAAATACGTATCTCGAGTTAAAAATAATAAACAGATTCCTAAAAATAATGAACAGATGCCCTCTTCAAATGATTTTATCACTCGCAATCAATAACATAATCAATATTTTGAAAGTTCCAACATCTTCGATGAATTATGTATTCCGTAGAAATATTATGACAGTCAACATTGCATTCCTCTCGTCTTTGAAGTTTGAATCGTTTTCTTGAGTTCTCCATGTGAAGAGAAATCTAACTATTTTCAATAGCAAGTCAATATATTTATAACCTAAGAGGCGAGATTAAGAGGCAAAAAAAGAAAAATTATTCCATAATAATAGATCAAATTATTTTATGAGTACTTCAAGATTATAAATTATGATTATAGCTTTTAACGAAAACTAGTATATGAAGCATGAATTATTTCATATTTTTGTGCCAAAAAAAAAAAATAGATGAAATTTTCAAACATGAGTAATCTAAATAATTGTTGTAAATAAAAAAAAATTGTCATGCAAAATAATTGATATGCTATAAAATTAAAATAAATTATCTCGTTATCACTTGAATAATTGAATAAAACGTTCTTTTTATTATTTCGAATACGAAAGAAAATTCCAATCTAAATAAACTATGATATAATATATCACGGAAACAAAATATTTCGATAATAATAAACATATCGAAAACTTCCAAAATTATTGTAAAGCTGTCGATACAGAAAATCTGAGCTTTGTTATCTTTGTTAAAGTAAAACAATTTCTATATTAAAATATTACTTTCGACATTCTTCAATTTCGTGCCTCTTTGATTTGGCCATGTATTAATTCGGTCTCGTCTTCGTCGTGGGCGGATAGATATTTTTGTGGATTGGATCACGAAACTGGTCCTGTAGAGGTCACGATGAAGGTCGCATACTTTCCACTTTATCCTCGAGATTTGCTTGAGTTTTTTATTCAATTGATTTCTTCTTACTATTCTTCATGATAAAAAAACATGATAAAAATAAATGGATTTTTTTTTACTCGAACCAATCTATTAATTTCGTAAAATTTATATTATATATTAATTATGATATACAATTATCACGTAGATTTTACATCTTTATAATTTTTTTCTAAAATTTGTAACTTATAATTTGTCTAAAAGTAATTATATTTTCATTGAATTATTACGTAATTATTACATAATGTTTATATTAAAGACAATAATAAACGTGATAAACAACTTTTAACAGATGATCAACGATCGAATGGCTTTTTGTTTTCTGTTTATTTGCATTATTTCTGTTGTATCTATCACATGTCATACTAATGTATCATAATTATATTATAATAACAACGACTTTTATTTCAAATACATGTACACAATTCATATTCAAAATTAATTGTTTCAAATTCAAATTCTTTAGAGGTATAAAAATTTTGTTTTCAATTTAAGAAATATAATATAAATGATTCTTATTTTAATGATTTCTTTTTCTTAACAGTAACAAACTACAATTTTATAGAAGAAATTAATAACACGTGCACTAAATCGTATATCAAAACTTCGCACGAATTAAACATACTTAGCACTTTTATTCGTACATTCATGAACAATAAAACAAGGAATAAAAAAAGAAGTAAAAATTTTAACACTTCTAAAAGCCACAACATCCAAACAATGAAAAAAAAAAAAGAAAGAAAGAAAGAAAGAAAGAAAGAAAAAAGAAAATAACAATAAAGAAAAAGGAATCAAATATTGTTAAATTTTTTTTGATCAATGCAATGTTAGGTATTGTTTCGATAATGTTCCATCACTAGGCCAATGCTGACGTAAGGCACATTTTAAATTACCATTACGTAGTTTCATGAATATCTATGAGCAATCTTCGCCTGCAATCGGGACAGCTCCGGTTCGAGAATTCTTATCGACGCATACCGTTTTTCCGATTAATTCTCTACTCGAGGACTTTTCAGCCTGGTTGCACAAAAGGCTTTTACGTAAGCGTTTACCCGGTCGTTCCGAAGGCGAAACTCGAACAGCGCCGACTGTGAAATTTCATCGTGAAAAGATGAAGGAGGAAAGTGCGAATTTTCGATGCTTTCATCGTTGATATAAGCTCGCCTTGGATCGTGTGTTGCGTAAATGCAATTAATGCAACGCTATGTAATTAATTTCGAACGAACGATCATTTTTAGGATTTCAAGGTTACAAATAAAGCGATAAGCGTCAATAAACGTGGTAATCGTCGTAATAAGCGCGTAGTAATGATTCCTTATTTCACTCCTCGAAAGGAAAGTAATTTTGTGCGAAAGACATTCAGAAATATATCGCACAATTCAAAACTTTTTTACCCTTAGAACTTTGTATTTCGCAAAGTATGTACCAATTCAAAAGTTGTTTCATTTAAATTTTTCCCGATTCTTTCGTAACAAATATTTCAAAGCGGAAACCATAGATCGATATCATTTCACCTTCCGCAATTTTTATTTAACTTAACTCCCCCTCTATCTTATTAAAGCAAAGTTAATTTCGTTCAGTTGATTCCTCGATTAATTAAAACCTTTAAGAAACCGAGGAAACACGAGGCCAATTTATGAAGGCATGAAAGAATCCTGTTTCTCTGTCGCAAGTAAATCTGCTTAATTATCTCTCTCTCTCTCT